CCACCACCACCACCACCACCACCACCACCACCACCACCATCACCAAGAACAGCAGTAGCAGTAACAGTAACAGCAGCAGCAGCACCACCATCACCACCACCACCATCACCACCACCACCAAGAACAGCAGCAGCAGCAGCGCGAATCTCTGCATCCCCGGCCGCCGTCGTCGTCAACAAGGACCGTCGCTAGACGAATCGCGCTAATTGATTAAGTCCACTCACTGAACGTGACGCTTCGCATTGATAGGCCCTTAAGATAACCCCGTCTCATGCCTAATAGCTGAAGAGGTTGAGGCGGAGTGCGCGCTTCTTCGCGAACGTCTCCCGGGAAAACGCTCGCTCGGTCGGCTCGACAGTCGCCGGCGCAAGATGAATGGCAATACCGTCTCGGCGCGTGCATCCATCACGGACGACAGAACAGCCGATAACTCAAGTTGCAGCGACGTCGTCTGGCAGTGGTTCGTCGGCGGAGAAGCAGAGACTCGCGCTGTTTTTCCGCGCGCGGGGGATCTTGCGTACGCATGCAGTGTTGCATCTTGCGTACGCATGCAGCGTTAGATCTTGCGTACGCATGCAACGTTGCACATTGCGTACGCACGCGCGCGGGATTTTGCGTACGCACGCGCCCAGGATTTTGCGTACGCATGTTGTAGCGTTGCAGCGCTAACACAGCGGCGCTCGCATCCCGCGGTTCAAAGACACGTATAGAGCGCCGTGTCGTCGGCGCTGCGTAACACGGCGTCGCACGCGAACCCGGGCAGCTGCTGAAAAGCCGCGTCGGCACCTGCATCAGCGCGCGAAATAAATTAATCACGCGTCATATAAGTACTAATGGCCATCACCACCACGCCGTGATGTGGTGGGCGGGAACGAACGAGGACTTTGACAGCACTACAGTAGCTAGCTAGCTGCCATGCTCTCCTGAGTGCCTGGCTAAGGATGAGTTGATGCGCTTTCAACATTTCGCCACTAAAAGCTTTGTTCTAGTGGGACGTAAAACGTGAAGGGCGAACGAGACTGGCGCTGCATAGAGAGAGAGAGAGAGAGCCAGAAAGAGAGAGAGAGAGCGGAGAGAGAGAAAGAGAGCGAGAGGGAGGAGAGAGAAAGAGAGAAAGAGAGCGCGAGAAGGAGGAGAGAGATCGCGAGATATAATATATAGAGAGAGCGAGAGAGAGCACGTGAGAGAACAAGAGTGAGAAAGAACTCTCATTCCCGATACTGTGAGTCCAATCAACAGCTCGTCGGCATAAAAATAATTTTAATTAACGAGATTACACGTTCATGCCGCAGCATGAGAACTTTCTCACTTTTAGTGGAAATTTGAACGCGAGACCAACCGAACAGGCTACAACAGTTAACTAAAGCGCATAATACTATTATTAGCGTATATAATTACATATAATATATATTATATATATATATATAATTACTATACTGTATAGTACCCACGCGCACCCGCTTGCATGCGCCTATACTGGGTCGCCTGTGCGACCAGCGCGCGTGTTACAGGCGCTCTCACCGCCCCGACCCTGCCCGATGATGAGGCGATCGCACACAAGCGGGTTCTTGCCACACAGGCCGCGCTAGCTGCGACTCTTTTATGAGGATTATACACACCGCCGCGGTATTTGACCAGCGTAATACCGCCTCGATAAAATTACTCATGTTATTCATCCCTCGATCGTCAATCGAAGACGGCACACGACAACGGTCATCTCTTGTACACACGCGCGCGCGCACACACACACACACACACACACACACACACACACACACACACATACACATTCTCACTTGTGATACACACAGCAGAGAGATATATGTGTGCACAT